GTTCTCAGAGTCTTTCGTTAGGCTTATATTCATGCTTACGTAGCTCGTAGGGGAGACCCACAATTCAGACACAACTTTATGGAATTGCTTTCTTGAATTTTCTCCTCTTTACAGTCTTTGTGACACTTTTTGGTTCTGAAAGGCCCTGTTTCTGCTCTTCTGTCTAGAAGGATAGGGCTTTAGTTTTCCCTCTCTGCTGTGAACATTCCACAACTGTGTCTGCCTCTGAAGCTAAGTAGCAGGGTATATAGAGAAAGAATTGGGATGTTCCCTCACATTCTTAGGACCACCGCCTCTCTTGTCAGAGGGAAGGGTTGCATTCCCGCAGTTTTAAATGTCTGCCTAGCTACCACTGTTATTGTTATCACCTCTGTGACAGTACTGCCATAGATTTTCTTGGGTCTGGGATGAAAAAAACAAAAAGCAAAACAGTCAAATTTTTATACTTTCCCCAGGAACTGACCCCAGGGACTCCTTTTCCTGCCTGAGACTAGAAATTGAGGTCTTCTTTTACAGTTTTCTGCCTACACTCAGTCCAGAATTTTGAACTTTGTGATACTTTTCATTCCACTGTGGGAGATACCAGAGGCAAAAAACAAGAAACTCCCTCTTAAATTGGTCTTACTTTGAGTACTCATTTCCTTATTTCATTCTACCTGATACCATTTAACATTTCAGAGTCTTCAGAGAGCTGCTCAATATATCTGCTTTAGTCATTCGTTGTACTCAACAAGAGAGACAAGGTGACATATGCTTACTTTTATCTGAACTGGAGCCAGAATCTTAAATATATATTGAAAAGATTATATTAGATAATTTTTTATTTATGTCTATCTTATTTACTCCCCCACCTTCCCATATATTGTTAGGCTTAAATGTCCTAAAGCATTCTAGGCAAATAGCACAAATCCCTTTTTTATAAAGCCCCTCTAAGTATATTCCAGAACCTCAGTTAGTATCTAGCCTCATTACTTCTTTATATTATTCCATTAAATTTTAAGTCAAATTTCTTTAGTTTTAACTATGGTGTATTATATCATTTTCCAAATAAAATGTTGCTTGTACATATCTAGAGGGATTAGAAATTTTAATAACTCTATTTAAATAAAAATTATTGTGTGTATATATACACATTTTAAAATAATTACACAATGAAGGGAAAGAAAGCAAAATTTTAATAACTATTCCTCTCATTAGAGGAGCAGAACAAATTTTTACCTCTTGGATGCATGTTTACAGTTTGCTGAATACGCACTTCAAAATAACGTACATATATAGAATGTAATTTTTAGAGGAACTCTTACTTCTGATTGACCTGATATATACCCTAAAAGGTTTTTATCTCTGTTCTTATGGTCATCATGCTAGAGAAGGTAGTTATGCAAACATAAGCAGGGTAGGAGAAGGGCTCCCCCAACAAGGAATGTCAGGCAACTATCAGGTGATAATCAGCCCGTTGTTAAACTGTCGCTTTAAAATCATAATTGGTTGCAGCCAGAGAAAGGCAATCTCTAATAGCTAGAAAACGCCTGAAGCTGGTGATCAGTAGCTTCCCAATATGATCTCAGGAGTTGAGCAAGTGGGCTCAAGCATGTGCACTAAGAGGTAAAATGGTGGAGTTTAACTGGTACATGATCTACCTCTAGGAAAGCTTGACTGATAAGGAAGAAATGTTTCAAGTAAGCATGTGCACAACTTCAGTAAACACACTGTGCATGCGGCCTCTCCTAAGTGCTGGCAGGCTACTACGCATGTGGACAGCCTGCTTCAAGGGAAGAATCAAGGGAGAAAAAAGCCCCTGCAAACCCTGGAACCATGCCAATATACAAACTCCCAAGTCAAGAGCTGAACAGGGCACTTGGATCTCTCAAGTCCCCTGCTTGGCCTTGTTCCAAGTGTACTGTACATCCTTTCGTTCCTGGTCTAAAAGTTTTTCATAAACTTTCATTCCTGCTCTAAAACTTGCCTTGGTCTCTCCCTCTGCCTTAAACGTACTTCTGCCCGTCAGCCGAATTCTTGCCTCCAAGGAGGCAAGGGACAAATTTACTGTAGAGCTGTACAGATTCACTGCTGGTAGCAATCACAACTCATTATATATTTTCGCTTAATAATTATAGGCATACCAAAACTTTTGTGGGGTTTAATAAGAAGAATCAAGATAAGTTCAGGTTTACCTGCTGAGTAAGTGTGAGAACACTAGGGTAAGGATAGGAATGGAGGCTATAACTCATCCTTGAAAATAATTATGTATGCCTGCCACTATATGCCTTTAAAAAACAAAATTGAATAATAACTAAGCTAGCAAAGGAAGAGGTAAAGACTTTTCACAATCAGAAACGAAAAAAAAAAAAAGAACAGAAGAGCGTTATGTTTCCCTAAGGTGGATCTTTTTGTGGTAGACTATAACAAAGCAATAAAGGAATCGGCAATACTTGCATACCCAGTGGACTATTTAAATATTACTGTGACTGAGAACAAAAGACTTCCAAATTTCCCTAGTTCTCTTGTTTAAATCTATATGGGAATACAGATTTAGAGCTAAATGGAGCACAATCACACAGGGAGTCTTTGGAAGCTACAAGGACTATGAATATTGATGGGAATTCACTTCTGTGTTGTGCTCTGAACAAATGACAACAGAGTTGTAAACAACTATTTCCTTGGAGATGCAAACAGATTCCATAGGCTGTGAACTGAAACTCTTTCTCACTCAGATCTTATTCAAAGCAAACAGTGTATTTAGAAGGGTACGCATACCCTAACAATTAAACAGGATATGGCAAACTAGAAAGAAACAGAATTAGTTCCAACTCCTTATAACTATAAAGAAGTTTTTTTCCCTCCCTCTCCAAATAAGCTAGAGATGATATTATTTCTGTTTCACGTTTTTAAAAATAAATGAATTCCTTATTGTAAAGTTTCCTTTGAGTATTTAGCAAAATTTTCCTAGATCTGAACTCTACAAGTGCCATCTTTCAGAGCAATACAATATTTCCTGGATTGTTACATTGTTACAAATGTCATTTTACTCATGTTGAAAAACTCTGTTTTCCAAATAGATAAATTTCTCTTTGGGGTCTGCAGAGGCTTATAAGTGACCTTCCAGATACAAGCTGCTATTGAGAGTTAAGGGGATGATCAAAAATCACAGTAGTTGATGCCAGACCTGAATAATAATATTCTAAAAAGGAAAATAGGATACTTTCTTTTTGCCTAGAAAAGGAGCAAAGGCTACGGTGTGGAAAATCAGAGAAGGAAAAATATACTGAACCTGAACATGGATGAGCAAATTATCAGAAATAATGGGGTCAAATAATAAAACTGTCCTTATAGAATTTAGCACAACATCTATCAATAATTATTATAAAGCATTAACTTAAAGAACAATAGTTTGTAAAGAGCAGGAAAATTTAGGTCGTTCACAAAACATACAACAAAAGTAAATTTGTGTATTTCTGTGGGGGCATGGACATTTCAAAGTCCATTTTGGAATACCTGTGAGTTCCCTGAGGGCGAGGCTATGTGTTATTCTTCTTTGTGTTTCCAGGATCCAAGTTAAACTGTAAATTCATAGGCAAATCAGCAGTCTGTTTTAATGGAAAACTCTAAGATGCCAATCCATCAGGGTGCTCAGATATCACTGAAAATGCAGCAGAATGGAAAAAAAAATCTCTTTTCCTGATCTACTCTTAGGAAGACCATTGCATTCTGTTTGAAAACATTTTTCGTAGGTCCTTGGTGTAGGCAGTGAGACCTCAATGAGTATGTTCAAGTGATAAAAGATGACTGATTGCCTTCTCAGGAGCATTTTATTTTTTAAATTTATGTAGTTTATTTTATTTTATTTTTTACTGAAGGGCTTTAGTGTTCTTCAGCAAAAGGCACAAGTTTTCCAAAGAGCAGAGTAACAAAAGAGCAAAGAGCAAGCTAGAAATGGGGTTTAAATTCTATCACCAGTAGCTCTCATTTTCTTCGTCATGAGACTTAGTTTTCTCTCTGAATAAATATTTAAAACTATTCACACATTTGTTAAAAGAGGCAGCAAAGTGTTAGTTTTCTTGGGGCAGGCACCCATGTGATTCAGCCTGGATCTGTTTATAAATCACCATCACAGGGGCTACACAATGAATGCTACTTTTTTCCCATCTTGATACAGAATGTTCTTGCTAACAGGGAGTGGGAAAAGCCAGTACCTTTTCTCTATCCAAACATTTGAGAATTAGGTGCTAGATTTTGCAAATTCTGTTGGAAACTACCAATTTCATCAAAATTTCCTGAAACATTCCTCTATACCTTCTGATATGGTTTGACTCTGTGTCCCCACCCAAATCTCACCAGGACTTGTAATAATCCCCACGTGTTGTGGGAGGGACTCAGCTTTAGGTAATTGAATTATGGGAGTGGGATTTTCCACATGTGTTCTTGTGATAGTGAATAAGATGCATGAAATTTGATGGTTTTATAAAAGCACAGTTCCCTTGCACACACCCTCTTGCCTGCCGCCACGTAAGACATGTCTTGCTCCTCCTTCACCCTCTGCCATGATTGTGAGGCCTCCCAGCCATGTGGAACGGTGAGTCAATTAAACCTCTTTCCTTATCAATTACTCAGACTCAAGTATGTCTTTATTAGCAGCATGAGAGCAGACTAACACACCTTCCTTTCATAAACAGCTGTCTCTGCTGTCCCAGATTTCTCTATTCCTTCTCTTCCAGTAGCTCCACCTTGCAGAGATGCTGTCAAATATGCACAAGCTCTTATATTCTCATTGTCTTCCCAAGATGAAGCCAAGTCCTGATGAGCTGAATCTAAGAGTTCTTTTCATTTTGACATACTGGCAGCCAGCTAACCCAACCATGGCCCTATTTTCTCCAACCATTACTAAAAATGTTCTCTCTCTGTCTCTCTTTTTTTTTTTTTTTTTTTTTTTTTTGAGAGAGTTTCACTCTTGTCCAGGCTGCAGTGCAATGGAGCAATCTTGGCTCACTGCAACCTCCGCCTCCCAGGTTCAAGCAATTCTCCTGCTTCAGCCTCCCGAATAGCTGGGATTGCAGGTATGCACCACCATGCCCGTCTAATTTTGTATTTTTAGTAGAGACGAGGTTTTTCCATGTTGGTCAGGCTGGTCTCAAACTCCTGACATCAGGCGATCCGCCCACCTCGGCCTCCCAAAGTGCTGGGATTACAGGCGTGAACCACTGCGCCCGGTCCATTTTCTCTTTAATTTTGTCAATCCACTTCTGTTTTTTCTGGCCTCTCAAAATTGCAAATACACTCTTTGTAAAACTTCTGTTCTTTGTTAGATGCCTACTCATCCTCAGTTACCTCACTGATCCTTCTTGACACTGGCTCCTCCTTGAGGAAATCACCTTCATTGCAGCTTCTACCAATGGAAGGAAGGCTGTCATTCTCCCAAACCATATTTATATTCTGGTCTGTAGTTTTGGTCCATGTCTAAAGGTTGCTGGTTGAACCTGGTCATTCGTTCTCTTCCCTTTCTATGTTAATAGAATGCCTACTTTATAGCTGAGTCATAGTTGTCTTGAATAAAGCTATTTCTCAGAATTCCTTATAATTGGGTAGCATGAGACTGGGTTAAGTATCTAAGGAGGTGCCAGCAGAAACAGTGTATTTAACTTCCTGAAGTGTCTTTAAAGGAAGAGAACTGACCCTTCTTCCCATCCCTCCTTTCTATTGGCTTGAAGGTGGATGTGATGGTGGAGTTGGAATAGCTGTGACTTGGGGAATGGAGGCCACAAATGGCACAGCAACAGGAAGAAAGAAACCTTGGTCTTTGATACATTGAGTATTCGGACTCATTTGGAATGCTTATGTTTAGACTACTATTTAAGAGATAAATAAATATTGATCTGTTATTGGATTTTCAGTCCCTGACCACCAAACCTAATCATAACTGACATAGTCAATGCTGCTTTTACTCTACTGGTAAAGCCAACGATCCTTTGAGACTTATGTTATTTGCCTAAGTCATCTTCAACCACTCCTCATTGCTGATCTTTGCTGACCATTTTTATGCCTTCTAATCATTGAAGACCTCAGTATCTTCCATATCTATATTAATATAGAAAATATATTGATTACATTGACTTCTCAATTTTTATTCTTCTTAATCCCTTCAATGTTTTCCACTTGTATCAGTCAGGATACAATAAGCTATGTGACTAATAAACAACCCCCAAATTTCAATTGCTTATAGTAACAAAGGTTTATTTTTTGTCCCTGTTGCAGGGCATTCATGTGTTTTCTTCACTCCGGTGCCCATGATGACTTTGCCTCTAATTGGGATATTGCTACTCTTGTGGGCGAGGTAAAAAGAAAACAAAACAAACTAAACCAAACCAAAACAAAGACACGCACACACACACATAGACACACACACACACAGCGAACTATATACAAGCTGGCTCTTTTGAAATTTCTGCCTGCTCGAAAGTGGCACATATCCCTTATACTCACATTTTATTGGCTAAAGTAGTTCTTTGGTTCAATGGAATATTAATAATATTAATAGGGTAAGAGATGGGCAACTTTAGTGGAGAATAATATATCACTCTAATACCTATTGCAATGCACATAGCATATATATTCAATACATATTTACAGGTGGATTGATTAGAATATGAAATCATTTTTAATTGTACAAACTATTTAATTTTTATTTTGAAGAAATGTGGGTCATCCAATTGTACAAACTATTTAATTTTATTTGAAGAAATGTAATAACCAATCATCTTATCTGATTCTAAAACAATTTCTATAGTATATGGACAATCAGTTAATCTTTCTTTAAAACTAGCAGAAGACTACTATCTTACAACATAACTATAAATATTTATTTCACATAAAATAGTTATTTCAATGGCGCTTGAAGAATAAAAACATGGGCTCAAGCCCCATGTGTTGAACAGAAGTCCTATAAATTTTGATTTTTTTACCAACATCTGTTATATTTTGATTTTTTTTTTTTTTTTTTTTTTTTTGAGATGGAATCTTGCTCTGTTGCCCAGGCTGGAGTGCAGTGGTGTGATCTCGGCTCACTGCAACCTCTACCTCCTGGGTTCAAGCAATTCTCCTGCCTCAGCCTCCCAAGCAGCTGGGACCACAGGCTCATGCCACGATGCCCAGCTAATTTTTATGTTTTTAGTAGACATGGGGTTTCACCATGTTGACCATGCTGGTCTCAAACTCCTGAGCTCGTGATCTGCCCGCCTCGGCTTCCGAAAGTGCTGGGATTACAGGCATGAGCCACTGCACCTAGCCAAATTTTGAACATCTTTTAATGTTAACTCTTCTTTGTAACGAATTGCAATTTGTCTCCTCATAACCTCTTTCTTTTGGTTTTTAACTTAGTTTGGAGATTAGTAAGACCAGTTCAGAAAAGAGAGTTCGCTTGACAAAATGGAGCGCACCTGCACTCTCTGAAGAAGACAGATTTTACTCAGTTCCAGCCAACTTTGTAATTCAGGAAATTGCTCTCATTTCTGCCAAAGGTTCATGTACCCTTAGTACTAGAAATGGGTTTCAATTAAAAGTAGAACAAAATAACAGTAATAGGTCAATCACAACACATGATTGTGGCCTAAGTGTTCCCAAAATGTGATGACTATTTTTGACTGACGTAGTTTGAGAATAATTCCCCCACTCTGAACACTTTTTGTGGCAGCTTCTTAGTTATGTCTTATGGCTGAAAAATTGATAGAAAAGAAATAAATTTTGTAAACAAGAGTACCCTCTATATCTCTTAGGTGCTTCTTGATTTTTGAGTTTCTTAAGAGCACAGCCAGGCAAAGTGAGATTTTATATATATGACGTGGAAAATTCCATCACAATGGGACTGAACCTGATAGGAAAAGTGATTGACATCTCTCATGCACATGGTGTCTCTCTTTGTATAGCTTTTATCGTCGATAAAGCTTTTTTGAGCTGAGGGTGGAGAAAGGTCGAGAATCAGAAGTAGTATGGGAGCATTTGAGAACTCCCTTCTGATAAGACCAATAATGAACCATGTTTGTTTATTGTTTAAGCATCCATGGATTTTTTTTTTTTTTTTTTTTTTTTTTTTTTTTTTTTGCTAAAATTCAATTGTACAGTGTTTCTTCTGCTTGTTCCAAGTATTTGGCTTACTTTAGAAAACATGATTTCCTATATTAGGTGCTCACAGGCCTTGTATTCAATGCTTCACTCTAGGGCTATGTTTTTTTTGTTTTGTTTTGTTTTTTTTTATTTGAGACGGAGTCTCGCTCTGCCGCCCAGGCTGGAGTGCAGTGGCCGGATCTCAGCTCACTGCAAGTTCCGCCTCCCGGGTTTACTCCATTCTCCTGCCTCAGCCTCCCGAGTAGCTGGGACTACAGGCACCCGCCACCTCGCCTGGCTAGTTTTTTGTATTTTTCGGTAGATACGGGGTTTCACCGTGTTAGCCAATATGGTCTCGATCTCCTGACCTCGTGATCCGCCCGTCTCGGCCTCCCAAAGTGCTGGGATTACAGGCTTGAGCCACCGCGCCCGGCCTAGAGCTATGTTATGAATCAGTCTCTAAATTGCTAGTCAGTAGTTTCTGGATTTGATCTTCTCATGTTAAAAATTGGAATATTTCTTTATTCTATATTTCTCGAATTTGTCATGTTTGTCACAATTCTTCAGTAATTACTAATAGTTGATTCTATGATAATATCTTAAGATTTTGACTCCTGAGGTAAAATTAATTAGAACCCAGGATCTTGAATTCATTTAAAGCAGTCCAATATTCTGGTATTATTTTGATTTTTGTTTGTTTGTTTGTTTATCAAATATTTATTTAAGCCCTAAGTGTTTGGATCTTCAGTTGGAAATGGAGATACAAAAATTAATTAGATACAATTTTGTTTTCTAGGACTCCAAGTTTCATCATAACAACAGTTAAAGTAATTGAGTGCTGCATGTGTACAAGGACTACGTGTCAGGCGTTTGCCTACTGGAAGCTCATTTTTTTTCTCGCAGCATCATGGGGGTGATGCTTTATTTCGATGAAAAGGAAGCTGTTGCATAGAGAGATCCAATGAGTTCCTGAAGATCTCACAGCTCATAAGTAGAAGTGTCAATATTCAAACTTAAAACTTGTATTCATATCAGGTTATTTCCCTGATTCGTTAGCCTTACTTGAAATTCTGTCTGTCATTAACCCATATGACTACCAGTTTTGGTTTTAAGAACATTCTTCTTAATGAAGAAGCCAAGAGCAATAGAGGATTTAAAAGTAATGCTTATTTTCTATCACTCACAGAAATAGTTGAATTATGTCTGTGGATATACATTCCTGCACAATAGAAGTATGATATTACTTTGCCTTCTCCTGACACTGGGGCTATTTGCTTTTCTTCATTGTTTCAACTTTTAACTTATTATACCCTTTATGTTGTTTATAATATGTTATGTTATTTATAAATACCCTTTATGTTGTTCTTTGTCCTAAGACTCATTCACACCTCTGATTTCTCCATATTTCAACATTTCTATCAAAAACCTGTGAGGGTTTCGCTTGATGCTTTTATGTGTTCCACTCACCCATATATCCTTGACTCAAGTCATTATCCCTGAGGAACCGTACTTTAGATGTCTTCTTTCCCTTCTTTCCCTGTGGTTTATCCTTATTAGGCTGATACATAGCTATTACATTTTAAGGAAAATTACATTTTAAGGAAAACACTTGCCTCTTAGTATATTTGATAATAGCAATAATTTTTCTTATCCCCTAAACTTCTGGAAATCAGTTTCTCTGAGGTCTAAAATGCATATGAGACCAGGTCTAGAACTGCTTCCCTGGATGAATGTGTCGAGATACTTTTCTCCTAAGCTTCCTACTGCTGTAGTTTCATCAATAAATTTTTGATATAATAATTATCTAAGTCTAGAGCAGTAGTAACTTTTGTTAATTCTACACTCTCATTGGACATAAAAAGCAAGATAACTTCATAACAATTGCTTTGCTTCCATCAATATAAGATTTCCAGCCAAATCTAAGTAGGTAAAATTCCCCAGTTCTTAGTAAACTTCTTTGCTATTATAAAACAATCCATTTTAGAAAACCTATTTCATTTGCTCAGTGTTCTCAATAGTCAGTAGCATCCAAAAATATTCCTGATGAAATAGTGTTCTCAATATAGAGTCAGATCAGTGTACAAACCTTGGTATCAGTTTCCTCTCATGAGCACCATCACTGTTAGTGATAACTAGTCTTCTCAGAGTCTTTTTACCTGTTACAAGATGAAATCAAATGGCATAATGTGAAAGAGTATTTTTAAAATACAGAAATTATTTTAATAAAAATAATTCCAGGATGCCTTGTGTTTTTCTCCCCCTTCGATATTTTTACCTAAATGAATATCCACTAAGCTAAAATCAGATAGGCCTTAGGTGGTCATTTGTTTTGTTTATTTTGCCTTCATGTTAAACACTAGCTTAAATGAATATTACAGAACTTTGTTATTTCACCAAAGTCAGAGCCAAAATATGTTGATATGTATTTTTATGTGTCACAATTTAAGATAACACAACATTTTACTAACCCAAAGATTATTTGTATGACTTACTGGTCTCATAGAGTAATTGTTATGGCAAATATGTTTCCTTAGGACTCAATCATATATAGAAGTCTGCAGGTCTATAAAATCATGACATTCTTTCAATTATGTATGTATAAGAATATAATTTATAAGCTCATATGCCTTGGTATCAGACTAACTTGTGTTTGAATTTTGGCACAAAAAATAGTGACTATGTGATGGTAGGCAAGAAGTAATTTTAACCCTCTGAGGCTCAGTGAATTCATCTAAAAATAGTGATAAAATTTTTTACTTGCTTACTGTGAAGAATAAACAAGGTATTATGATATATTGTGCATTTAAAGTTCATTATTACTTACTAATTGCTATAATCATTCTTAAAAATGCCATAGCATACCATTATAAAATTAGAGGTCAATGGAAAGCTGTACAACAGTGTTGCACAACTCCAGGTGGTGCAAATGGTATTCCATAACATTTCATGTATGTGGCAGGCCCTGCAGTTGCACAAAGTCTTGGATTTGAACTCACATACGTTATTCCATTGTTTCCAGATTCCACTAATTCAGCAAATATATGTAGGTATTCAGATCTAGCCAGAGACTGACACTGGGTTAGATGGTGGGAAAACGAAGACAAATGAGAACACCATCCCTTTTTAATATGGTATATTATTTAACAAAAATAGTAGATAATTAAGTTAGAGGAAAAAAAATAATCAAGACCCTTTGTTTTCACCTGAAACTCTTTAGAGCATGTTAGAGAAAAGCTTCTTTTCTGGGTGGAGAAGTTAGAAAAAGCTTTTTCTTGCAAAGTTGGATGGGACAGAATGCAAGTTTCATGCCACAGCTCCATAGATTGAAGAAGTAAACCCAGGCTCAGTTAAGATCCTAATCATGTTTCCTTAGCAAGGTAACTTTGTGCAAAGCACAACCTGCACAACTGTACTTGGAGATGCTGAGTTTATGGTAATACAAAGAGGATGCATTTTACTTTGTATATACCATCACGAAAAATTCACAATGATGCAAACTAATGGAACTTCAAAATTTTGCATTATTTGCATAAAGTCAAATTAACATGTCTTGGCTCATTATTGCATTTAATGAAATATGAATCTTGTATTTACAATAATTAAACAACAATTTAAATCTTTACTGTAGTCTTTGGAGAAAATGCCAAAAAATGTTGAATTCATACAGCAGAACTTCTCATTTTTTATTCCTTTATGTCTTTCTCTTTCAATATCTTATATCCATGGGCAAGTCAGAATGGAGGAAATATTCTTCCCGTACCACTTGCTTAAGTCCCTAGATTTTTATAGAAATTGGCTTTATTTACAGGTAGAGTGAAAATAAGTGTTGTATTAGAGTGTGATGTTATAAAAATTCTCATTTGCAGACATTGTTGAATTCCACATAGTTAGTGAGTTAAGCTGGCATATATATTTCTTGTATCCAACACTAGGCAAGTTAGTAGTCCTGTATTACAAATTGCTTTTCTCTCAAAAGTCTTGTAAAACATAACACAAACTAAAGTTTAAATAAAACAAACTGCTGTACTTCCTTTTGACTCCTAACCCTAAAAGCTCAGGAAAAATATATACACTTTGGGATATGGAACAGATAATTAATGGTTGCCTATAATTCTGAAGCTGAGCATGTTCAATCTGGGTAATTACGCCAAATCAGGCAGAAACACTATTATTGGCTTTTAAATGCTATTGTGCCACTAGGCTTTTTACCTTTGTTTTTCCACTTGAAAGGAGACATGACACCATAATTGAATATATCCTGAAGTTGATGACAAACTTTGAAATATACAAAAGTACTTTCCCCCTACTGAGTACTCAAGAACAGTTCTAAAAGTAGCTGGGACCAATCTCCCAAGTCTAAAGATAACAATGTATTTTACGTGATCTTTCTAAATTCTCTTCTGGAGGGACACCAAATACCTTTATATTTGTAATTCCAATGTGAAGCTTTTAAAAATGCTTTCAAATCAACTTTTAACTATTTTATGGGTACTCTGTTCTGTTTGAGTGAGAGAACAGAGAACAAGGTCTGAGAACAAGTTGAAGAAGCAGAACATCCTATAATTAGAATTAATAATTAGATTTAGTAAGTGTATGAGTCGTTTAGCCCAATACCCCAATTTTCAGGTAAGAACACTGAAACTCATTGAATTTAGGTGTTGTTTTTTTTTTTCTTTTTAAGTCATCCAGATTGCTTGTGGAGTATCAAGAACTAATATCTGATTCCCATCAAGGAGAGTGCTTTCACTAGTCCAGGAGTTTTGGGTTTCAGAGTTCAATCTGATGTCAGCTATTTAACAAGAATTGAGAAAATAAACACTATTCAAACTATTTTATTGATTGATTGAGATAGGGTCTCACTCTGTAACCCAGGCTGGAGTGGAGCGGCACTATCATGTCTCACTGCAGCCACGTTCTCCTGGGCTCAAGGGAACCTCTCACCTCAGCCTCCTGAGTAGCTGGGACTATATTTTATAGTGTTGATTTTATGTCCATCATTTTAGCTGCAACATTGTTAAATAATCATAGTAACTTCGAAAACATGTGACACAGCAGTTGGGATAAGCTAGCCAGAGAGAGAGAGAGAGAGAGAGAGAGAGAGAGAGACAGAGAGAGAGACAGAGAGACAGAGAGAGAGAGAGAGCAATAGAATTGTAATTTCAGTATCTTCCAAAAGTGGTTTTTGATTAACAGAACATGTATTCTTCATGATTATATTTTACTGACAGTAAATATAATATGGATATAGAGAAAATAGAGATTAACTCAAGACAGAAGGTACAAATTGCTTTTCCAATTACTCTCTCTTTTTTTTTTTTTTTTTTTTAAGCAATTTTTAAACCCTTATTTTTAAAAGAATTTTTGGATAAAGTAATGTCAGGTTTTTCTTCAAAGTTCTTCATTCAAAAGATTTGGAAATATTTAGATCAAGAGTATAACACAACATAAAAATTATGTCTTTATCATTTCATCTGTTAAGTTTATTCTTAAAAGAAATTAAAGCTCTAGCTTGTGGAAAGAAGAAAAAGAAGCTAAAGTCATTGAAGATAAATCAAATAACCATTTCAGATATAACATTGGTTTGAGAAAAAATTATTGTTTTGGATTTTATGCATTTTAACTTACAATGACGCTGAGACATCTAATTGAAATGGGCTCATAAGCAGGAAGAGATCTGGCTCATAATCTCATAAATTCTAGTTAGTCATTTAGATTGTGCAAGTGTCCCAAGGGATAGTTAAAAAGAGGACAAAGGGTCAAGAAATAGACCTCAGAGAATTCTCATGTTTTAACATGAGATTAAAAATCTGAGAAGTCAGAAAAGAGAAATCAACACAAGCAGCATAGGAACTGAAAGGGTAGATGAAAATCTAGATGATGTAGTATTCCAAAAGCAAAGCAGAGAAGCAGCTTTGGAAGAACTACCGTTAAATGAGTCTACATGTGTGGGAATTCAATGAAGACAATTCCTCCAGTGTATCTGAGAGTCGCCTGGGCCTCCATGATGCGTCTCTCACTCCCACTTCCCTGTGAAACTTGAGAATTGTAACTTACTGATTTGCTTTGAGCCCCATCTCCAAAATTCTGGCATCATTCTGGGTTGAAATAAAGGATCACAAGTATGTTCTCAAAAGTGGTTTATCCTTGTTTTCTTTTTGTTTAGATATGGTCTGTCCCCACCAAATCTCATGTTGAGATTTGTTTCCCGCTGTGGCAATGTTAGGAGGTATAATCTGTAAGCTGTAGCACCTAATAGGAGGTGTTTGAGTCATGGGGCTCTACTCTCATGGATGGCTTGTTGCTATTCTCACAGTAGTCAGTGAGTGAATTTTTTCTCTGGCAAGACCAGAATAGGTCTCTCAAGAATGAATTAGTCCTCCAAGAGTGGATTGTTATAAAGCCAAGATGCCCCTCAAGTTTTGCCTATTTGCACATGTCTACTCCCCCTTTAACCTTCTGCCGTGTTGTGATATAAGCATGAAAGTCCTCAACAGAAACCAAGCAGATATTGGTGTCATGTTTCTTGAACTTCCCATCCTGTGGAACCCATAAGTTAAATAATCTCTTTTCTTTATAAATTTCCCAGTTTTAGGTATTCTGCAGTGGCAACACAAAATGGACTAAGACAACCCTAAATGACTGTAGACAGTTATATAAGGATGAATAATCAGCACTGAAACAATTGTATCTATAAGTAAATATGTAGATTGCTTTGCTGTTTATTCCTATCCTTGAGTGATTATTTTCTTAATTGATATACTGACTTTTCCAATCTGATTTCTTCTTTCATAGTCTATTCCCCCAATGCGGCCAAGAAGTTTTCATCTCAGATTTTTAGATCTCAGGGGTAGCATGAGCATCACTACATATATAGCCTTATTTCATGGGAAAGATGCAGATAAAAACAGGGTTAGTACTTTGCCAAAAAATACAACTAATTGGCTTCAGGGACTGGTATAAAGTTTCCAGAATGACATTATGAGTTAACTACAATTTCTCATATTTTAAGTGCATACTTTATACTGTAATAAGGACAGAGATATTTTATTAGAATAATGGCTAGATCTTAGCTTTACCATTACTGTGTGAATTTGGATAAGTTACTTCAGTTTTCAACCCCTCATTTTTCTCATATATAAAATAAGCATAATGATAGTACTTTTAAAAATAGGGTTGTTATAAAGATTAAATAAATGAACACACATCAACTCTTAGAACAGTGTCTCCAAGTAGGAAGCAGTCAATATATGTTAGTTATATTATTGTTATTGTTGTTGTTGTTCCTTGGTGTATACAAAACAAACTTTGAGCCTCTTCTTGAGGAATGCATGCTACTGTCTGCTATTGATTTAACAAAATTTAACTTAAACTATGTTCCTAAGAAATTTATGGACTTAAAAATGTTTAGTTTGATTCAAACGTTGCTATTTATTATCTAAGTACACTTGCGAAAGTCATTTAAATTCTCTGGGTCTCAGTTTCTTCTTTTGTAAAAGAAGACAGAAAAAAAAATCTGCCTCATGAAGTTACTGTGAAGATCAAACAAATAATGAATATGAAAGAATAAATTATAAAGTGATATATATATGCAAGATGCAATTTTTCTTATTTGGCCCCTCATGGAACACTAAATCCAATGGAACCCTATCCCACAAAATTATTGCTTAAGATAGAATGCAGAAGCAAGTTGTGATAGCACTATTTTTTTCTCTTGTTTATACGTACATGATTTCCTTTATTTCCTTGCTTCCCTTTCCTTCCCTTTTTTCTTCCTTTTTCCTTCTACGTAGTATTTTGAATGCTGCTTCATGCTAGGTCCTGTGCTATATATTCCAAATAATAAAATATATTTTCTCTCAAGAGATCTCATTGTCTAGTATGGGAAACACACTTACAAAAAAGTAATAAATTATAAGTGCAATAATAAATACATGAACTGCATAGGGAGGTTTAGTGAAGTAATTGTTATTTTTTAGGACTATGTTTTCATCAATTTGCATTCTCTTTTTATTACAAAATCTTAAAACAAAACAGAAGTTAAGTCTCAAACACGGAGTCGTAAGTACCTTGGAATAACAGTTACATATTTAGGGTACTGAATGTATAATAAAATAAGAAAATGTAATAGTTGTCAGATAAATTGAGTTCATTATAGTTACATAACTTAATCTGAGCAGAACTGCAAAAGGAATTCCAGAAAACATTTCAAATGAGGCTTTAATCTTTTCTTTGCATCCTATCCTTATAGTTATTATTATTTTTTTTGGTTATTTGTGGTAATTGGGTCATATCATAACCTTTTCCACCTTCTTAGCTGCGTCATCATTGAACACCTTCCTGTGTGCTCCAGTCTTTTCATCCACCCATCTGTCTGACTGCTCCATTCGTCTCCTGCTGTGTCTCATTCCAGTTGACTTCTAGCTCAACTTTGCTCCCACCCACCTCTTCCTTTTATGCTCCAATGCACAGTGAGCTCAAAATGGCATCAAACTGATCTCCCTTTACTTGAAGGATCACAACATCATTGCTACAAAATACAGGAAGTTTCTAAGTTGATTCAGCTTTCTTGTCTTTCTGTCTGCTAGTTAAATGCCATTTTCAAAAGAATTCAAATTGTTTAATTCAGACTGTATCATTTTGAGTAACTCTTCTTTTGTGGAACTTGAAGATTTGTTTCTAGCTCTTCTCAGGTTGAATATCATATCATGTCATATTACATTCACACAAACTTACTGTCAGATTTACTTAAAGCGTATTGCATATATAATTCCATAATGAATTTCCAAAATAAATATTACCATACATAGTAAAAAATATTTGTGGGAAATAAGTAGTCAGAACTATACTTGAAACTTTTAAAAGCATATTTTTCTCTATAATGTCCTTGACCTAACAGGATAGTTATCAGCTTTTGGTTATTACGTCTTACTGAATTGACTAAATTCTGGGGAGAAGGAGGAAAAACATAACATAAATAGTTAGATAACAAAAGGCAGTTATGATAGCGATGGAGATATGCTTACTGT